CCATTTATACTTGTATGACAAACACAGCATATTTTTTGAATAGAGAACCTATTTGACTCATTTCCAATAAATAGGTTTAACAAACTAACGTGCAGACTTGTCTATTAAACAGATCATGCATGAACTTAGAAGTTACAGCTCATATGATACATAGGATGTGTATTGGCTAGAGAAAGTAGCCACTTATATCGTTTATTGACACACTTTCCACTTTAAACCTATCTGACTCATGTAGTTCCATGTTAATGCACTCTCCACTTTCACTTCAAATTTTTTCACTCAGCTAGAGAAAGATGAACAAAAAAGCAATGCTTCAAAATTAAAATTTCTAAGCTACATATATGCTTCTGAAAGAGGATGAACTTATAAATCTGCATAATTGTTTAGAAGGATCAGGAGACTTGTACTCATTTGCAATGTGGCAAATAAAAGAACTTAGTGGAAGACATCTCTCGAGGATTACAATCTGTTTCCATGATTTCCTACATGCAGGAGAATTAGCTTAGAGACAGCTAAGTCAACTGCAAATGTGACCCATGTTCATTTACTTTGTGAATGACTTTAACAAATTACTGAAACTGTTATATCACAATATTTTAACCTATGAGAAAAAGTCCAAAATAGTTACAAATTAGGAAGAAAAATGACATGAGGTCATACAGTCCAATTAGCAAAAGTTTGATACTTGCACATAGTAGGTCTTTATCATGACATGCTGGTTGCAGGCGTTTGTTCTTTATCCCCATTGATTTAATTTTCCCTTATATATATAATTGTTCTACTTTTTTTGGCTGCTCTAACTTGAAATACATGTTTTTAAGTAATTCGTGAGTACCCTTCTGAATGACCAATTATATCAAAAGCTTAAACTGATAATAAAAGATCAACTTAATTATCGTAATAAATCAATACACCTCATGCCCAATCTATCTGGCTTAACTTCTCCACACATTGTGCTGAATTCATTTCAAGTATAAAATTGTTATGTTCCATCTATGATTAGATTATAGGTCGGCTAAGTCGATTAAGGCTAAAAGCTTAAATTACAGAGCCTGCTTATTTCACAAATTCACTCCCTTTGAGACTTATGTATCATAAGTTTTTGACATAACTGTCTGATCTTGAGAAAGAAAGGAAGAGAGAAATGAGAAAAAAGAGAGAAAGAGAAGAGAAATAGAGAGGGAAATCTGAAATATAATTCTTATTCTTTTCCTTAATTTTTTATAAGCATAAAGAGTGAGCCGGAATCAATGGCCGTCATGATGCAGTGGCGGCTGCGATGAAGATGCCTACAAAATTATTAACCCTAATTGATACATGCAAAAACTAATTTATTCCTTTTGTTATTTCTTTTTTCTACATTTAATGCTACGACAATACTCTCCCCTTCAACATCAACCTTGTCCCCAAAGTTGAAAATCCAACCTCTGATTTTTGTTTAAAATTCTTAGTTTTTAGTTTTATATTTTTTAATATATTTATATTTTATATATATATATAGATATATATATTTTGAAGTAGTTATTTAAATATATTATTATGTATATCTTTTTTTATTTAAAGCAGTTTTCCACTACTTCCACCCAAGGGAAGCTGATTTTTACTGAATGGCCCCTTCACACTACGGCCCCAGCCGCTGCCAGCTGCTCTAATTGCTCTGCCTCTTCCCACTGTGGTAATGTCTTCTTCTTCCACCTCTTCTTCTTCGCTTCTCCTTCTCCTGCTTCTCCTTCCACCTCTCCTTCTGCTTCTCCTTTTCCATAACAGAAACCATTTGGAGAACAAGAGGCCTGCAAGTTCCCATCTTGCGAGTGCTGAAATGGAACTGGAATAGAGCTTCCAGAAGTTAGCTTTTTCCGTCTGGTTGACCAAGGCAGTCAAGGGAGAGACCTCTAGGGTTTTGATTCCTGGCCACTACTACTTGAGAAATAAAGAGAAGTGTAGCAGGTGAACTGCTTTGGTTCAAAATATTGGGTGGACCGATTTACATGGGACCTGTTCGGACTGGTTCAACTCGATCTATTTCTTCTTCCGGTCGGGTCCAGTTTGGTTAGACTGAACCAGGTACAAAGGGTAACCCTAACTCTTGCTTTTCCGACTCTAGAATTGTGCCGCTTGGGCGAGATAAGAGGCCTCTATCTTCATGGGTCTCAACTTCCAGGTGCGCCGAGCGTTCTTTGGTCCAATCAGCATAACTGCCCGGAGTAGATCCAAGATCATGCTGAACTTTCGACATGATTCTTTCATGAACGCAGAGAGTTTAAGGTCGACCTCCTTCACGGTGATTGCTTTGAGATTCTCCGGCTCTGATACCACCTTGTCATAAGCCTTCAACATGACTGTTTGATCTTGAGAGAAAGGAAGAGAGAAGAGAAAAAAGAGAGAAGTAGAAGAGCAATAGAGAGAAAAATCTGAGATATAATACTTATTCTTTTCATTGATTTTTTATAAGCATAAAAAGTGAGCTCTTTATAGGCTACAAAGTAATAAAGAGATGACAATCATGGTCGGAATCAATGGCCGTCATGATGCAGCGGCGGCTGTGATGAAGATGCCAATAGAATTATTAACCCTAACCCTAACCCTAATTGATATATGCAAAAAATTAATTTACCCATGTTATTTCTATTTTTTACCCTAAATATTTTGACATTATGTTGAATAGGGTCAAGGAATAGTTGAAAAGAACCCATTAATCTCTTAAAAGTCAGGTACTCCAGAACTATAAGAGAAAAAAGCTTCTATTCTTGATTAAGCCTGAGTCCAAATATATAAGGCAAGAGTTAGCTGACTTCTTCCTAGAACCTAAGATCTGAAAACCATCATCTTACTTAATGGTTTTATGCTAGCTAAAACAATAGATTTATTTATTACCCTAGGATTCTAACACATTCATTGAGATAACCAAAAAATAGAAAAGTCAAGAGTAGAAGATATCCAAAGCGAATCAAAAGACTGGAAAGACTTTAATGCAATCCCTCCTGGCTGTTAATGTTTCATTCTCTGTTTGCTAGCCATCTGATCCCCCTCTTGAAAAAAGGACTCATAAGACTCATAAGACACTTTTCCATTTTCCCCCTCAAGCCCAGTCCATCTCTTTCAGACACCATACCTGCTTTTTCTTTACTGAAACGACTTGAAGGATTGTCGTTTCTGCCAATTCCTGATCGAGTCCACCCTACACCATTTTGGAACTTTCGAATTTCGAATTGGCTGGGTCTCAAAGCGGATTCGGATGTTGTCTTCTCAACCCACTTAGTTTCCCGTATGACTTGTTTG